TTCATATCCCACAACAATGACAGAACTGCGGTAGGATGTGCGAACAAAACCACAGAAATTTAGCAATATAACACTAACAATTTAAAAATATAAATCAGCATAAAATTATTTAACCCTTACAACATATGGGAGAGAAGCAACAAAAACATTTCATAAACAGTGACCTGTGATAGAGTGAAGAAGAGCAGAATGGGTGAATGAAACCAGACTTACGAATGAAGAACCACAAGAAGAACTAGAATAAGTTCATAAACTGACTTAGAATTTTCAATGACATAAAACCATTATTTTTCTTTTTGGGTTTGAGGGAGTCTCCAGATGCTCGAAGAGCATTTATTACGAAGAACGTGAATGGAATATGAATTTGCTTTACAGTAAGAAAGGTGAGATATCCGCATATGAAGATGCTTTGATTGAAGATTTGCTCTACTTCCGTCGAAGGGGTAGCAGCAATGTGTCAATCATATGCGCATGGAACCGCTTTAAGAAAAGGTGACATTTCAAATCGATGTCGATGTTCTGCGTGCGTGAGAGACTTCCTCTTCTTCCATTGAAGGTGACTGCAGGAGGACGAGGAAAGTCAAGCCCATAAGTTATGTGCCCATCTACGGCGGACTGTAAAGCCTGCAAATGATGAGCAGAGTTGAGGGTGTCAAAAGAGTCAGGCTTTTTGCTTCTTCTAGCTTCCTACAACTGAGCAAGTTTGACTGAGAACTGCCATATTTGGAAGACATGTGGATGGATGGATGGATGGATCGAGGCTGTCAAAGTACTGAGGCTATGGCATCTCTGCCAGTCCAAACAGGCATACAAACAAACAAAAATATCCTCATCCTGGAACGTTCCCTTTACCTTCCTCCCTCTATCTCTCTCTCTTGTATGTATGTCTCCCTCTCTCTCTCTCTCTCTCTCTCTCTAATCTCCAAATGCCATGGCATGGCATGCCTGCGTGACCACCACCTGACAGGGCAGGGCGGTACTGTGGTACCAGTCCCCAAGCGGGACTCGACTCTCATCTCGCCTTCCAGGGAAAGGGGCCTGTTTCGCCTGAACGACGACGACGAAGAAAGGGACGAATATGAGTAGAACCATAGATGCCCACCTGCGACTGGTGGACCCTCCTCGCGCGTGCAGAGGCACGCACATCGCAACTCCCCTCCTTCTCCGACGGGCCTGTCCGAACCAAAGAAAAGGAAAGAAAAGAAGAAAGTCCTATATCTCACCTACATCCACAGCATCAGGCGCAACAGTGGAACTACAGCAAACAGCAGCGGTGGGAAGAATTGCAAGCGCGAGGGTGAAAAACAATTCAAACAAACATGCCGAGCATGGCGGACAAAAGAAATCACAAGAAGCGAACAAAATTAAGAAGGAAGCTTTTTGAGTTTTTTTCCTTTCCTTCGGATCTCATCTCATCGCTTCCCATTCACTCACACTAGCACACAATTCCTCATTCGAATGAAAAAAATGAACTTGCTCTCTCTCTCTCTCTCTCTCTCTCTCATGGAAGTTCCGCCCCACATTTGAGCGAGTTAAAGATGTGAAGAAATCTAAATTCTTGTCCCATCGTGGAGGAGTTGACAACAGCACGAGGTCAGTGAGAGCTAGAGGCTCCTCTTGTCCGCCGTGGCAAGGGGTAAAGAAATCGAAGCACCGGGTCCACGTGTCAGAGGCTCGTAGCCCCGCTAGATAACAAGAAGAAGAAGAAGAAGAAGAAGAAGCAGCAGCAGCAGCAGCAGCAGCAGGGAGGGCATAAAATATCCGACCCGATCCGACAGACGGGGAAATGGAAGGGCTCAGAATGCTGATGGCAAAAGGCGACGAGAGAGACTCGCGGCCAGGACAGACGAGAGATTTGCCCGAGCATGGTCGACGGCCGGACGGGACGGGACGGGACGGGGGCCGGCTGGATGGCTGGATGGCTGGATGGGGGGCGGGAGGTGGGGGCCAGCCAGCCATACACGACGCAAGAGGAAGTCGGTAAGTCATCGGAAGGAGTAATATAATGGTCTGCTGCAATGGCGCTGGGGTGGGGTGCTTCTTTTCTTCTTGGCTGGGGCGGGGGGCTGCTTCATGGATGATGGATGCGAACGAAGTTCGTTCCTCCCCTCCGCTTCGCTTTCCAACCCACCCGACCTCACGCCAGCGCTGTCGGAACCACGGCGGACGAGCGAGGGCGAAAGTCGTCTCCAGAGCGAGCGATAAAAAGGTAGTTGGTTAGTTGATTTCTTTGTCGTGCGAATCTCTGCTCGGCTGAATATTCTGGGTCCATGGGCCTGCGTATCCGACGGTTGCTGCGACGCTTGGGCCCCGAACTTGAGATTCCCCCTTCCGTCCCTGTCAAGAGAGAGAGAGAGAGAGAGAGAGAGAGATGGAGAGAAGGAGAGAGAACAGGGAACGAGGGGCAGCGAGCGCAGTAGAGAGAGGAGAGGGCCGGGGGGGGGGTGCGGTGGGAGCTTGGGCTGGGGGTCCGGGAGAGGGAGAGGGAGAGGAACGGATCATGGGATGGTCAAAGAAGGAAAGGAAACGAGGATTGGCTTTTTTACCAGAGACCAGGGCGAGAGGAAAGGGCAAAGATAAGTACTGTAGATAGATAGAGAAGGGTGAATGATAAGAGGCGTTATTACGGGATGAGGTGGTGTGTCAGAAATCCATTAAGAAGCTTACGTCAGTCGAGGCAGGCGTGCCATGGCAATCGAGTGCCCAACCATTTCCCCTCCATTTCACGCCACAACCGTACTTCAACACCAACACCAACGACACACTGTAGTATGCAGCCCGGCAACAGACGCAGAAGCAGCAGCAGCGGCTGCGTTGCCTTCTGTCTCGAAGACGAGAGCAACGAAGGTGCCTTTCATAGCTTGAGAAAGTCCATAACACAAATTTGATGGATGGAAATCAGCAATTAGAGAACTGGGTTCTGAATGAGGAGAGGCAATGAGGAGATTTCCATACCGAAGGCAGGAGGCAAGGATGACAGGATCGTGGAGGTTGAAATTAATGATCATCGATGAAGTAAAGGGAAGGAAAGGAAAGCATAGGATAGAGAAGAAACCAAGGCAAGAGAGGAAAAAGGAACGAAATGAGGAATGGAGAGCTGCAGGTCCGTCCTTGCACGTCTGGTCTGGTGCCGCTGCAGGCTCTGAGCCCTTGTGTCTGTCTGTGGAGAGGAAGCCAGGAAGGAAGGAAGGAAAGAAGGAGGAAGTCTTCTCCTGGGTACGCTCGAGAGAGACGGGGACGGGGGGAGGGGGCGAAGGGATGATGGGGACTAAAATCTGAAGTAAAATAAGCGGTGGAAAGTGGAGGACTTCATTCCTGGGACTGCAGATCGAGTGTTTCCACCTCACCTGGACTCTAGGTTAATGGAGCTGTATCGTACCCGCTTTCCTGTGCCCTGTGAGGGACAGAGCGAGGAGATAGAAGTAATAACCCTCTACACTATAGCGCTCAGCTACGTCGGGCTTCACAGCCGTCATGCATGCAATTGTGCAATCGAGAGCATTCCACCCGCAGCACCTCTTCATTATCTTCCTGAACGTATTGGCTGCGGCGTATCTCGTACGTTCTACGGGGCAGGTCCTTGGGTACATTGCAACAGTTACGCTATCATTGTCTCCAGCCAACCCCTCCCCCTCGGCCTCCCCCCCTCCCTCTCTCTCCTTCTCTCTCTCTCTCTCACCCTCTCCCTCTTTCACTGCAACCAAAATCTCCAACCAGCTGACGCTAAACTCACTCCCTCTATCCCCTTCTCTCTGTCCGTCTCTCCTCCTCCTCCTCTTCCTCCTCCTCCCTTCTCGGCCTGCGATGGGGATGCTCTTGCAACACACCTTCATTTCCGGATTTGACTCATCTGCTACCTGCTCGGGCTTGGGCTTTGGCTGAAGATTTTCGCCGGGCACTGGGCACCCAACGAGGTGATTTTCCGGGCCGATTGGCCCGATTCGATTCGCATGGCACTGTTTGCCTCGAGGGTTAATTGTCAGGATAAAAGTCTCGATGTATGCGCTGCGACGCTAACAACATAATCTGTACGCGCATAATACTCCTATTTACGTGACGACGCTCATTGTCTTATGCCCTGTTTCAGTTACGCTCTCCCTCTAAGCCTCTCCTTAGCTGAGCTCTCGGCCCCTGCTATTTCGGCCTAGCATCCGCCCATCCGCCCGCCAGCCAGCCAGCCATCAAGAAATCCGGGTACGCACAGACCCTTCGGTACAGCAGCAGCAGCAGCAGCAGCGAGCTGCGAGCTGCGAGCGGAGCTGTGTGTTGGTTACCGTCTGCCCGTCTGGCCTGGACTCGGCAATTGGGACTCGAAACTGCTCGGCTGACTGCTCTGGGAGTTGCCCCTCTGTCGTCTGAATGCCCCCTCTGGCCTCAGACCTCGTTGATCATTTGCCACGACACTTTGTGAACGCTCAACGCCCTCTTACCGGCCTGATCCCATTATCATGTGCAGATACCTTGGTCGGGGGCCCTCGATAAATTGGACACCTCACCTCTCCCCACCTCTCCCCACCCCTCCCCGGGCCTGGCAAACAGTTCCCCCAGCCGGGCGGTTTTTCCATCGGCCTTCCAGACGCTTGGTGTCCACGTTCTAGAACGACGCTTCGTTTCCGATCTTGTAAATGTATATATGGTTATGGGTCTTGAATCCATATCTGCAAGATCACCGCAAGTGTTTAGCTCGATGGCAGCTACCAGACTGCGGTCCACTGGCAGCAGTAATTTACATGATTTCGGGTCACAAGTGGTGGCTTTGTCGAGGCCTCTGATCAAATTTCGTGGTTCGGCTCAGTCTGTGGGGTTATGATTCACGATTTGGATCTACGCGACGAGCGTGAATCGATCGATTCAAGCCATCTCACGACCAGAGGACAAGATATACACTCTATATCAAGTGACAGGACTTGCCGGGACGGAAGAGAGAAATGCTACGCAGTGGGGGAGCATCCATAGCCGATAATAGATAGATGCTACATTCGAGATCGGACCAAAGAGTTGGGAGTAAACGAACAGGGATGCTTTACCAAAAAATGGTCAACAATGCGGAACGCATTGCGGGATATCTGACCAGAAATAATCGTTTAACAGTTTGTTATTGGTGTTTCAAGTATCCACCATACACTATATCCTCGTCTACCTTAACCCCGAAGGGAACGAAACCTCTTTAAGTCTTGATCCGCTGAATCCTCTTCCTAATTGCTCAATCAAGTCACGACTACTGCCTCCAGCTTTGTTTATCGTCTAATTATAAGGTTGAGATGGTCGCCTGGTTGAATTATTCTATCCACATTTGTCTTAAAAATTGCGGCAACTCCTCCGAATGCTGTGCTATTGTAGCTCAAAGGGGCGATTCTATAGTGCTTCGAATGTAAAAAGGCTGCTGCACAGGCCGTCGAGACGACGTCGCTTGGGAGCTGATGCAGTGTTGGAGCTCACGCTGCTGGGGCTAGCCTCGCAGGATTGAGCACCATCACTGGCGCAGCTGTACGATGCAGCTTCCAGTACTCCCACGGGACTCTGGGGTACTGAAGATGTGTTAAAAGTCCGCCGCTTAAAGAATCTCTGAGGGGAAACCTCGACCAGAACGTCCTGCATGATGAAGAGGCATCGCTCTAGCTCCGCCTGCGCAAATCCGAACCAGACGAGAGTTAGCATAGGCACGTAGAGGCAGCCTCCCGTGGCGGTGGGGCCCGATGCAAAAGAACTAACGAACGAACTCGGACACACACAGCCGCCGCATGGATTGCCCGACTCACCGAGTTGCATGTCTCGCACAGTATCTTCTTGTAGGCTTCGCCCTGAATGGGGACGTGTTCGTCAAGGGCGCTGAGAACGGCGGCCGCAGCGATGACTGATGGTCGGAAGGCAAGGAAATTTACATCTGCAATTTCAAGACAGCGGCCCGGTCAGCGACAAGAACCCCGATGATGTTTGCCTGATCCATAACCCGAATTCGTGAAACCTGTCATCCGAATTTCAAGAGCTCGAGTCTGCGGGTGGGGCTCACCTCTGAGAGTTCCCAGAAGGAGGTCAATCACTCGGAGCAGCAGCGATCTGACAATCGTGTTGTCTATTCCGAGCTTGGCGAAGTAGTAGTCAATGTACGAGAACGGAGTGATTGCGCTCATTCTCCATTCCAATGTACTCAAGACGAGGAGCTCCATCCGTTGCACGGTGCGTGCTTCGAAGTAGTGCGTGACATCCCCGACCTGTAGAGTGCAACCGATAAGTAATTTGTCCGGCGACACGGGAGCCGATGCGGCTGCAGACCAGAAACACCTGTGCGGAATGCAATGTGGGTCCGCGGATAGCGAGTCAGGTACATTACCTGAAGATCCAAGAGGAACGGGACCTCGGTCTCCTCCATCTTCGCAGCTAGAGACATGCATGCCACGGCCAGCAGTTGCACCTTCCACTCGCTTTCATCCTGTAGTCCAGAGGAGAGAGTAAGTGAGGCTGCATTGCACGCGGACACAATCTGCGCAGGCGCGAGCGAGGGACGCTAGGAGCAAGCGAGAAATAGAGATGGAGGGGTAGGGGGCGCAGGTCCTTACAGGCAATTCATGGCGAGATAGAAAGCGGTCCAGGTAGTTGACAGCGAGCGAAATGGACAGAGCGCCGAAATTGTGGTAGACCTGAACCTGTGAACAACAAATGTTCATCAAGTCAAGAACAGGCAAATGAGCTGGCCTAAAACCCAAGCCAATAACATCCTGTGATCAAAGAAATCGCCCCTGCCACCCAAGAAACCTGCGTGACCCCATCTATCCCTGCTAGAGCTGCCAAAGAAACCCTTGCTGTCTGTTCTCCATCCACAGCGAGTGAAGTACCTTGAGGAGCCAGTTAACCAGAGTCTGTCGCACATTAAGGTCGAGGTTCTTGCAAATGAATCGGTCCAAGTAGTCCGGCTCGGGCATGTGGCGAGCTTCTTTCTCAACGAGAGCTGCAATGGCCTGCTCATTTCTCACTGGAAACTGAATGGTGCTATGCAGAGCCGGATGTAGCACTTCGCTCAGGTCACTGCTCAAGTCCTCGCAGAAAACGTTGCCGTCTTCATCCCATCCATTTCCACTCACGTCTTCGCTGCAGTACAAGGAAGCTGGGCAATCGATACTGGGAGCCATCCTCGCCCGGGATTCTCCTCGCAGATGGTGGTCGAGCAGTTCATAAAACGTAGGCAGCCATGTGACCTCCCAGGGAGCTCGTTCGTTTAGTCGCGGGCGCGCTCGTGGTAAAATGTTAGTCTTGGATATTCAAGAATCGATAAATTGTTATATACAGAGGTTGAATGGGTGTCTATTTAGAAGATTGCAGTAGAATCGGTTGAGAAAATATTTTTTTGAATGTTATATACAGAAATAATAGCGCGATTGCGACGGACACGGCTGCTGCTGCCGCAGCTGAGCCAGCCGAGTATGAGCCTGATCAGACAGAGCGCAAGATGTACATATACAAAACACTCCGCCTGCAGAGATAGTACAGTATGGCGATATGTCTCAAGTCCGCCTCGGGAGTCTGCTCATGGAGCTTCCAGCTGATCAAAAAATTCAGTGAGCCAAGGCAGCCCAGTGCGCGCTGCGGGACTCGCTGATTCCAGCTGACGCTCGTGGAGTTGAGCAGGAAGCAGTCGTCGAGAATGGCAGCCGTGACTCAGTGGCGAGTTCGATGATCGACCAGGACACGGCAGCATCACCAACCGACTGCGGGAGTGTCTGAGTCAGTGAGTTCAGTTTGATCAGTGCGAGGACCGCAGGCAGGCAGCTCACTGGCACGGGAAGTCGGAGAGATAGAGGGAGATAGAAAGAGAGAGGTCGTCAGATAGACAGAAGCGTGGCGAGGGAGACAGACAGAAGAAGAGCGAGCACGAGAGTGAGCGAGTGAGTGAGTGACGATCGGTGTCCTGCCACGCGATCGCGACTGAATGTCCTGAGACTGAAGGTTGTGAAGCAGCTGTGGGGAGTGGGGATGGGGAATACGAGACGAGACGAGACGAGACGTGAACTGTTCGAGTCTTTCTCGTCTTCGCTCTCTGCCCGTGTGAAGAGGGAGTGTTGTTGTATGGGATGGGAGAAGGAGAGAGAGAGAGAGGGGGAGGGGGAGGGAGAGAGGAGAGAGAGAGAGAGAGAAGGAGAGGAGGGGTAGAGGAGGCGGAGGGGAGAGGGGAAGGGGGACTTGTGAGTTGACACTCGACGAGCGGAACGAGTGTATGATGTCGCAGAGGGGGAGAGAGTAGGAGAAGAAGGGGGAGGAGGAGGAGGTGAAGTCCTGGAGGGAGCCCGGAACACAATCGAATGAGCGGCCGCAGCGGGGTAGATATTTCTGGCGGAGGCGGGGGTCCGAGTCCCGGTTTGCTCCAAACCTCCGCATCTGCCCGCCCCGCCTCTTTAGGTGCGCCTTTTTTTTAATTTTGTAATTTTGCGGAAATGCATTTGAACAATTGAATTCAATTCTTTTGTTCCGCCTCTGCCCTCCGCGCCCCTCCCGTCCGCCGCGGGGGACGCCGTCCTGCGTCCGCCGGCGACGGAGCGAGGGAACGACGGCGAGAGAGGGAGAGAGAAGAGGAACGGAGAAGGGGGCGACGGAGTAGAATAGGCTTGCCGCCTTTTCGAGCTCGCTCTGTTGACACGCGCTGCAGGAGCGCTATTCCCCTTCCCTACGTCCGCTTTCAATACCTTCGTCGTTTGCTCCAACTACTTCTGGATCTCCTCTCAGTCCAGCAGTCCTCTATAGCTGTAGCCGGTAGGCGATTAATTGCCTTCCCTCTTGCTGCGCCTCGCAGGACTCTCTACGGCAGGCCAGATGCCTGTTGCCGGTAACCATCGTCGGTCCGACGTGGCCATGGATCGCCAGCATGGTGCTTGTTGACTCTACGAAACCCAGGGTGGGACCCGAGCTCGCGGGCCTGCACGTCCCCGGTCCCACTCCTCCACATCGGACGAGGAACCGGGGCTTGGCCGGTCCTTGTCACCGGCAATGGCCAGTGCGGATCTGGACGGTCAAAGCTCCGTGATTAAAATCTGCCTATTACACTCGTGTGGAATTCATGGGCGCGTGCTTTAATAATATTTCTACAATATCTTTTCGATCTGCCCCTTCCCTCCCTTCCCTTTGTTCGAGTTTATTTTTTTCCTCTTTGGCAGACCTGCCCCCTTGCCAGGTACTCGCGTCACTTCACATTATCCCTGCCTCCCTCCCTCCCTCCCTTCTTCTAGGGCTTTTCCGTCGTTTTTACGATGCCCGCCGTGATTTTTATCCCTCCAACTCCCGCCCCTCCTCGCCTTCCACGACTGGCTTTCACGCCAGCCGCATTACGGCCCGCCCCTCGCCGGCGACCTCACCGGCCGAGGGGTGGGGGGGAGGGCCTGGACAGGGAGAGAGCGAGGCAGCGAGCCGATGAAAGTAACGCTTAATGTGAAAGCCTCGTGGGCCAAAGAGCAATCGTGGGAATTTAACGGGGCCGATTGTGGGCTAAAATGGGTTTAGGTCAGTTAAATATCTGGAGGCAGGATTAGGGGACCATGGCGTACTGTCCACTTAAGCCCGGCTTCGAGGATTTTCCCCCAACCCCCAAGTCTGGCAGTCCTTTTATCCACGCAGGAAGTGGACACGTGCCGTCGCCACACAAGCGAGGGCGAAGAGCAGCGAGACGCGGTTCCGTTCACGGGACGGCAGCACTCGAGTGTAGCAGCCCGGGGTCGAAATTTGGAGGCAGCGTCCTTTCGGCGGCCCATCTGGCATGCAACTAATTTAGTGACGATTTCCCCGAGCTAATCAAAGAGTGGGCCCTAAATCCTAATACAGCAGCGAAAACCCCTCCGCTTAATTATTGAGCGTCGCCCACTAGCTTGTCCGGAATGCACGACTGCCTTGCTTTCCGGCGCTGGATTTCATCGATATCAGAGTCATGAGTAAAAAGTTGCGAGTACTTTTCAGCTTTTCTGATTAGGGTATAATTTTAGCACCACCTCCAGACTCTCTGGGGAATCGACTATTCGGCCGACTCGATTAATCGCTCCGTGACATCACCCGCGCGAGAGGGTTAATTCGGATTTTGTCGATTTATCGTATTACTCGCTAATTTGTCGATACGATGGTTGAATTACCGATCTGTCGGACGGATCCCGACGCGAGCGTCCCTGTCTCGGCCACATGGTCCAGTATTAGCAGAGTCAAACACTTCAACTGCAGTCAAACTTAACGGTAAGCACTGCTCCGCTAAGTGTAGGAGTGGAAGTCGGGAGCACCATACGAAAGGGATGTGATTGGATTAAGACTTGATTAACTACCACTAAACGGAATTACTGTCGGGGGGTGGTGGTGGTGGAGGTGCTCCAGTCCTGCCATTTTGCAACTGAATCTTGAGAGAAATGCCATTGAATTTCGTGTGTTGACAATGCCAGCTCTACATGGCGCAACTGAATTTCGCATGCAAATGCTACGAAGAGACTTTCTCTGTGTCAGAAATACACAACACCACAAATTTGTTCATCTACATACTGAACTATTGCAACAGTGAGAGGCTCGCCTCCGCCTTTGAGGCGACAGCAGCAAAAGACATCCACCCCACCCCCCGAACAGGCGCTCCATTTTACTATATCACCCGTGTCAGACCTTACGCATCCGCAATCTTCAATTTCTCCTCAGACCTCCATGCACGAAATCCAGACATATCAGATCCTCCTCTTTTGTTCCTGTTCAGTATGCAGACATAAAAATTCCCTTTCCCTGTTTCCTTCCCTCCCAAAAAAAATTCCCCCCTCTGCTTTTTATGCACTCGTCCTTAACCTCCAACTCATCCACTTCCTATTCTTTATTCATTTCATAATAACCATTAAATATTCGAGGTATGCAAAGACTTCCAAACTAGAGGCAAATATCTTAAGCATACAGTAATATGCTCATCTACCAAAAGAAGTAGAACATGTAAAGATGATCAAATTTACTCAAAATCTTACAAAACTGTTATGAACCTAAATACTTATTCAAAATAAGTCGAAATTTACTCTGTTTAATTCAGTCGATAATTTTTATCAACCTGAAGTAAATCAAACAGGTTGCGTCCCATCTCTTAACTATCTCTCGTCTCTCCAAAAGCGTCTCGAGAGAAGCCACGATTAATGGCAATGGGACAATTTCCGACTATTTTTCCCACTTTCGATGGATTTAAAATATTTATGCATGAATAAGCAGATCCCGACTTCGTGATTTGGGTCGATGCAAGAAGTTTCCAAAACAATGTGTACTTCCGAGTAATATGCAAATTGCTCATAATATTATGTACAGATTATGGTGTACAAAACGGCCTGGCTTCATTTCCATGAGTTTTACACAAAAGCTTGCAGGACAACAACACCAGATCATTTAACTGGGCTTCACTAACTTAACAGATTCCCGAGTCGCCAGGGCCGTACACCTAACCCCATGGCTGTTAGAGGGTCGAACCTCTGTCGGTCTGCCTCCCAAACTTGGAAGCGTGAGAGAGAGAGCAAGAGGGAGCAAGAGGGAGCCCAACCACATCCCCCAACGAATCCCTGACAAATTCCCAGCTAGCAAACTCGCCACGTCGAGACTGGCATCCGGGGACTCTCGACTGGCCCTAAAACGATAGCGCCGCTAACTCCGTGGTCGTCCTCGAGGAGCTCTCTAAAGGCCCGCCCCATGGGCCGCCAGCTTATTAGGAGGCCCCTCCATAACTCTGGCCCCAGCTCTGCTCCCCCTCGTTTAGTACGAACAGAGTTAGTAGCAACGAACCCAGACGAGTACCGTCCGTCCTTCCGTCCGTCGCCACCCCAACAGCGGAACTGCGGATGGAAGACTCGGACTCGACATGGCACTGCGACGATGGCCATCAACAATAATTAGTAACGATTTCTCCAGTCGGTCAAACTATTAAGCGGCGACCGGTGACTGTCCATCCACTCGGCCAGATGTCGCCAACACCGCGTTTGTACTGGAATCTCCGTGAGTACCACCCCCGCTCTGTATTAGCGCAGGGATTCCGGGTGAATTAAGGGCCAACATTGCAGCTTAATCATCGAACTTATGTAACCGATAGTCGAGTGTTAAGGCTAATAACACAGCGAAGATTCACAAACCCTACACTGGCCATGACTCGGAGATTTGCTCAACGTTTGATCGATTCCATTAAGCAGATTTTAAGAGATTTTAAGGGGTGGAGACTATTCATGAGTCGAGGCTTGGGCAGCATGGCGGAATCGAAGCGGATGTTAAGGTTGGGGACTGTTCACGAGTAAAGGGATTTTCTGCAAGATGGTCGAATTTAAGCAGGTTTTAAGGTCGGGGACTATTCACGAGTAAAGGATTCTCGCTCTACGTAGGAGAGCAAGTTGGAACGTTGGAGTGGGAGGGAACATGCTGCGTAAGCAAGGAGGGAGGGAGGGAGGGAGGGAGGGATAATATAATTCTATTCTATATTCGGCATTTTCACGAATAACGAGATGTTATCTTAGAGGAGTTAAATAGTGAATAAATCCGGTCCTTGACTGGTGTCCACATGTTGAAGCCAATCTAAACAGAAAAATGATATATAAAGAGGGTGAGAAGGAGCAGGGCTCTTTTTAAGATTATGATGGTTCGCATAGAAGAATCACAAGTACGTTGCTGGCCCTGTTTGAGTCGATTTCTCATTTGTCCTTGCACTGGGACTATAAATGTTAATGGCTCACATGACTTGTAGCACTCATTAGGAGTCGAGCCTTTACAAGAAGGAGGGCACGGGGTCTTAAGTTCCTATATTTATGGGAACGCGATAACAAACTACTCAGAGCTGCAGTCCACAGCTTGTAATCCCCCGCATTAGAGGCTTAACAAGTAACTACAACGACATTTTTATCAACCGACTAGTGAACGATCTCTCCACTCCTTTTTGATCGATGATGGAAGGCTCCCCAGCATCCAGCAATCAATCGATCCTCCATTTCGCCCATAGATCTGAACACCACTTTTCCCATTTACCCCTCTGGGCCGAACATGGTCTGGTTTGGTGTGGTAAAAGTTGCAATCCAAACATCATTCCCCATCCTTAATATTGCAGTTGTGAAAAGAATTCCTCCACCCCCACTCCACGGCATCATTTGTCGACCTCCATCTATCCATGGAGGTATCCCGGCTGGGCTTCCAGTCGGCAACCTCGGTTACCAGATTGTGCCCTTCCGTATAACAGAATTAGGGTTTGAAATAGTAAACCATTCATTTTTAAAAAAATTGTTTCAACTCGATTATTCCAAGGTGTTAATATACAAAATATT